GTAAACAACTTTCCTTTTTTGTCCATTATGGAACCGTTGGAATATTGCATACCAAGTGTAATAAAAACATATTTTAGTATTTGTTTACGCAGGAAACCCATTTACTGTGGGAAGTGAGGTATATCATCACTGCACAGAAAGCCCCCACATTGCACCTTTATAAATGTAAGGGGGGGGGGGGTCCTACCATAACATCTTTCAGAATGTCCTAAGGGAGTCCTGTATCAAAACATTGCTTTCGTACAGCAACAAATCAATGTTATTTTACCTTTTTTCTTATTTAGGGGCTCTTGAACGACGCCCCGTCCACCACATTCTTGTATTAAATTTGTACAGGGGGCTTATATCCATATATTGTTTAGCTAGTCCTAATGAAGCCCTGTACCAAAAATTGCATTAGTAAAACAACAAATCAATGCTAGTTCACCTTGTTTATTATTTGGGGGCTCTGGGACGACGCCCCCGCCCCCACCACCACTCTTTTTGAGGTTTTGCCGAGGGATCCTTCCCTAATATCGTTCAGCAAGCCCTGTACCGAAAATGACGCTTGTATCCGGCCGGTAACGATAATTTCACTAAACTCCCTCACTATTGTGGCTAACAGTCTGAATATTTATCTACTTGACCACAAACGGAAATGCATACATTCGACGTGGAGTGTATTCAAATGTTTACAAAAAAGAGTGCGTGTTCACACTTTTTCAAAAGTATTGCACCCAAAACTTCATACATATCATATATATTAATGACTGAATATAAGTGTGAACTCAATAATTTGGACCATTCCGGAATACGTGGCTCAAGCTTGCATGACTGTGTTAAGTGTTGTAGTGTTGGTTGGCTAGAATTTAGCCACGAACTATATAAAGACACAAATAAATTATGAACTATATTCACTCTTTAGCATAATTAATTATTTGACTTTGTCATAACCTGAATGATATATTGCCTTTATCGTTAGGCAGAGCATATCTATTTACAAAGAGTGACGACAGTGGAAGTCGATTCTGATTGGTCAGGCATTTCATGAAGCTCTAAAAGAGTTCCCTCCGGTAGGGATTGTACGTTAGAGGGAACTATTTAGAGCTCCGTGATTTGACCTGTGACTAATCTCGCGTAGATGCGCGTGCCACAACTTTCTCTCTCAATACGCTATAAGTTAAGGAGTACAGTTTAAAGATAAACTTGAGTTCTAGTAAATATTATAAATAAACTGTGACAGAATCCAAACAAATTTACACTAAATTTGCAAGATAACAAATAAGTGACATGTTCCAATTTTTTTTTTACTGGTTCTAACAACCAATCTACCGCAGGATACACAATCCAGAATAAATCATAGTCATTTTTCTCTTAAAATACGGTTCCCATACCAGAGCTCAAGATTAGCTTTAATCTTCTGGAGTAATCGAGGCACCTATGTGGGTCGTGGTGTAACACCTTATCCCAATCACTCTGTGAATGGTATGTGATATATCAATTTGTCTGGCCTCCTCTCTGAGATATCAGGTTGTATCCATGTTGGTATGTGATATATCAATTTGTCTGGCCTCCTCTCTGAGATATCAGGTTGTATCCATGTTGGTATGTGATATATCAATTTGTCTGGCCTCCTCTCTGAGATATCAGGTTGTATCCATGTTGGTATGTGATATATCAATTTGTCTGGCCTCCTCTCTGAGATATCAGGTTGTATCCATGTTGGTATGTGATATATCTAGCCTTCTTGATGGGATTTCATGCGATACCAAGAATGGTATGTGATGTATTAATTAGCCCGATCGCCTAGGTGAGATGTAACACCAATAACTGACAGCCTAGGGTAGTCACCTATGATCATGTGACCTTATCAGAGATAATGATAGTAGTAGGATACTCGTTAGAGAGTCACATGACAAGTCACGTGACAAACAGGGGCACAGCTAGCTACAGGGTTGGTTGTGGTGGGTGACGCTTCCATTTATTATCATCATATGTAATTTGCACGAACAAATGTGTTTTTCAAGGGGTTTTCCCCAAGCAAACAAAAAGGAGAAGTAAAGGACACTTGAGCTGTTCCTGATGCTCTTCTGTATTACTATGTTTAGGCCCACGCTCTTCAACTATTATTCCCTTCTCTCGTTTCAACGTGTTATATTTATTCATATAGACGAATTTATTACGCTCATGCATTTTTTGGTAAAGAAATGATTTATTTTTTTCGCAAATTCCTTTTGAATATATTGGTATATTCTTTATAATTGCTTTCATATCATGTAGTAATTGTAAATAACCAGTCTCCTCCCCCCCCCCTCCACTATTTTTCTGTGAACATAAAAGTATTGCATTGTGTGCATTTTACATATTATACTTATAAATTACAATAGAAGGTTTCAAAACTAACATTAGAATCCTAGCCTCATTAAATCTAATTTAAATGAATAGATTTCCGTTTCATCAATTACCATCGGATTTGTTCTGTTATACCAACTTTAAGACAAAATAGATAAGTAAATCTTCCCTATCCCAAATGAATAACATTTAGGTTAAAAAAATAATAATCTAAAGTTGGTTTGTATGTATGCATATGAGTGTACCTTACCAAGATGTGGCCCTTTTGATACGGACGATGGGGGGGGGGGGGGGGGGGGGGGGGTAAAGTTTGTTCTTGTTTTTATGGTTCAGTGTTTGGGCTATTCGGCGTTACTTATTAAAAATATAGCTCGCTAGCGCCAAAAAGGGTTTTAACCCTTTTTACTTAATTAAGGGTAAACGCCCTCAATGCTCTAAGCAAAACAATATATTCAATCAATTAGCAAAAGGCACTTTAAAATAACGAGCAATATACCGCACGCCACAATGTGGCGCGTTTTAGCATAGCCAATACTTCTAACGTGTCATTTTGTTCATTAACTGAAACCTCATTCATGACATTTTGCTTTCATGCTTACCCACAACATCACTTACGATGAATTGCCCGCGGTCATCCTACGTTCTCCATTTCCAACCTGTCCATCAATGATGAAAGAAGATCCTACGTTTTGAAACCGTAGAATGCCATTCATGATACTGTCACCATACAGGTCCGTTCACATTCATTAATTGACTCGATACGGCGATCGTTATCACGATCATATTGTACCGATCGTAATGAAGACGATCTGATATAAAGATCTTTAGCGCGCAAGCGTCGATTCCACGTTCAGCCTCAACTGTCATTCTACAATTGCAAGATCTACGTGTTGTGTATGATTTCTTTTTTAATGCGAAATAGAATGGCGTTGATATAAAGGCACATGGGACAAAGAGGAATGTGCCACACTCCACCCCCTCCCCTCTCCTTCGTAGAACGACCAAAATGTGAAATGAAAAGGAGGGAAATTTAAAGACGAAAAAAGACATGGAAAACGCTTCGCGATAAAGAAATTGATTCGACGTCTTCCACACCCTTCATAGCAGCGTTCTATCACATAAATGTAATTTCATTAAGGAAATATCACCTCTCCCCTTTCCTCAGCTCCAGGAACAAAAATAAAAGAAACATTTATCGATTGAGATCAATTCATATCTCATTTCTACCAATACGAATCGAAGACGTGTTCTTGACTAACTTTTGATAGATATCCTTTACATTCGTATCACTGTTCATAGCGTGCATTGTCAAATAATGATACAAGTACAATCACTGGTGTAATGATTAATCGCTTAGAAACTTAGAAATAAGCGCTATTCAAGTGTGACTATTATTATTGCTAACAAACTATTTCCCTAAGTTTTGGTCGTTCGTTACAGTATTAAAGCCAACAGTGAACCACACCTTTGTCAATGATAATGTCGTTAGTCTCTGTCAGGCATAGGGTCAATCAAAACAATAACCATGCGGTAAAACGTATATAAAAATAGGCTAAAACAAAATATACAATGCTTCCGATACGTTTGTTTCTCGGTATGCGTAGCATTGTGGATAAAACGTGTATATGTGAACGGTGTTGTGAAAATCGCCCTTTTCGGTCAGCTCAGATTTCGATCTTCAGTGACGTCACCATGTGGTATTAATGTTCCGCAGGTGACTTGGGTTACTGAAGTAGCGGTTCTGGAGCGGTGCTTGGGGAGGTTTTCACCCCCCCCCCCCTCCTCAAAAAAATAATAATAACGATGCATTGTAAACAAAATGAATGCAAGAACCCTCAAACGCATACCCACACGCACACACACACACACACACACATCCCCAATTATTCCTTTAGAACCAATCTTGATTTCTATCGCGTACAAATCAAATATCAGCCCCAAAATTCCGTTTGCTTGTCATCGGTATTTCGAAAGTAGTTTAGAAAGCAAATACAAATAGCCAGCTCTAAATATTTTTGAGCAGAAGAGTTCGTGTGCTACAAAGAGCCTGCAAAGAGCCTGAGGTTTTGAGTGGGGGGGGGGGGGGGGGGGGGGGGGAGTTGCTTCCCGCAGCTTTGGTTTAGGAGTCCCATCCCCCTACCCCACCCATCCAAGTCATACAGTTCGAATAATACTTCCTCTTTTTGAATAATGACCTGTAATTTTAAAGGATTCGTAAGAATTTTACAATTGAGAACGTGAACGTGAACTCCCTAAATGTACCAACAGATGGCGCTATAAAGAAACATTGACTTGCGACACGACAATAGTTGCAGCAGCAAGATATGTTTTTCATCTGTGGTTTAGAATATAAAGAAAAAGTTTGAAAATTGTCTTTGCATTTGGCTAGGAAAGAGGAACCTTTATCTTTATGCCAGATCCACTGAACTGCGTGTAGCTACCTGCGCCCTCTATATAACAAACAATGCCTAATCGGTGACCATTGGTCCCACACGATCCTCTTTTTCTTATGTTATTTGAGAGCTGAGTTGATGAGATAACCACCTGTCCAGTGATCATGCAGGGTGGTCTAATCCCTTCTTTACACTAGTATAGATCGCCTTTAATTAAAGTAACGAAACTGTGTACTTAATTTCTTCATTTCTCTTTTTTTCTCGCTGTCTTTTCAGTGTGACATGGCGACGGGTCTGAAGGCTTTCTTCGAATCACTAGCAAGACCACCCAGGAAGTTCATGGTGTTCGGTGGGGCGTGTCCTAGTGTGACGTCACCCATAGCAACGTCCGTTCATTGGTGGAATCTTGTACAGGTATGTGTTTCTCTTGATTAATGACTGATATTATCATATCATGATTTTATCGTAAGAAATCTTGATCATGTTTTATAACAGCGCTTATGCTCCGTCGTTACGATATCAAGAATGGTATGTAACTTTTTTTCTTTGAAATTGATGCAATTAAAGATATCACTCATAAGGATACATGCAGCCAACGGAAGGTTTAGGGTCGAAAAATAACGGAATATTACGTAGCTAACGGCATGTTTTATTAAAGCATACAATTTTATAATAATATTGGATCATACATCTGTCCGGAAATTCACAAATAAACATTTACCCCTTATACAGACAGGATTAGTGTTAATACCATTCTTAGCCATGTAGTATCTTATGAAAAAATGTTATTGGACTCATATTTAAGAATCAAGACATAATTCATTGTCTCCGTTTGCTACCAGACTATGAGGTTAGTATCCCTGTTATTTTATTGATGATTTGATTTAGTATTGGATGTGTATAAAGCATTTCATTTGTTATATCAGTAGAATAGTAGAGTATCCTTTCATATCTCTCACCCTAACCACCTCCTCTCTGTATCCAGCTATCCTACGCAGACACCACCCCGTCACTCTCTCAGAGGGATAAGTATCCGCACTTCTTCAGGACTGTCCCTTCTCAGAATGACCTCGGTGCTGCAAGGGTTAAACTCTTCCAGCTCTTCAATTGGACCAAGATCGCTACCCTACATCAGGACTACCCAAGGTTCTCTTACGTAAGTATCAGCAGGGGTCAAGGGTCACACCTCCCACCCCCCCCCCTCTTTTAAAGGTAAAGACCAGTTTTGGAAAATCCGCCCTCTCAAAGAATGAAATGGAAGCTCTTATTACCAATCTTGTGAAAGAATATGTTTTGAATAATACGTGATGATACAAATTTTGCTGGACAACCGCATACTAATTGATATATTTGGTAAATTATTATATTTTTCCGGATTGGATAGATATAGGGTAGTTCCATATGCATCTTTCTGTGTACAGTGATTGTAACTTTACCGAGACTGGGACAATTTCTTATCATTTTGATGATTCCAGCAGTTCACACCAATACTTATATGCTAGATAATCAACCTTTTTTGATCGATTCCACAACGTTTCTTTCACAATGCAATCGCATGACCATAACTGGTCTTTATTTTAATTGTTCTCAATGTATTACCTTTCTCGCATGAATGACACGCTAACATTCTCGACATCAACCTCCGTTTCATACTGGACATCATACAGGCTCAGAGCAAACAAGTCAAGATGGCAGAGGAGAACGGTATTACAACCATAGTCGAAGCTACCTTCGCTGATAACCCCCGGCCAGCCCTCGATCAACTTAAGGTATGTATTTTTCATTTCAAGTTTCAAGTTTCAAGTTTATTTGTTTCACATTTCACAAACAAGAATTCACATAATTGACAAGATAAGAACATAATATTAAATATACTAAAAGTGTCGCATTATATAATTAATATTTTGAAAAGACGTCGAAATTAATTGTATTGAATAAAATGTTATACAGGGTAAAATGTGAGGAACCTATTAAAAAGCTCAGCTTGTCGATTATAGGTTCCCGTAAAAAAAATAAAAAAAATGATAGGTTGTTATGGTGAAGGACGTTTCATATGATTTCATTTCACAACAACAAGAAATAGAATTTACAAATCCCCAGGGTCTGAAAATCAGAATATTACTCAGGTTATTGCAATAACTTAAGTCGATTCGACAACTAATGGTCGTTATTTTCCCACTAAAAGCCATTTTCAAGCATTTTCGTTTTGAAGGAAGTTCTAAATGAGTATGGCTTGCCGTTGGAAATTAACCTTTTCATTCGTTTGGCCTGCAAATGGGACATAGTACCTTTAAAGCCCTGCAATACCAATAAGTAGTTTTAGAGTTCGATTAGTTATATATATTTTTTGTTTGTTCTCCTGCAGGAGAAGGGAGCTCGTATCGTGATGGGTTTCTTTGATGAGCACATGGCGAGGAGAGTATTCTGCGAGGTAAGGTGGACGGCTTATTCCCATTTGGTCTACATCCAGCCCTTCTACTATCCACAGGGTCTAATAATCATTCCGTCTACTTATCATTAGGTCTAGTTACCATGTAACATTCATTTGGTCTAATGCCCATTTGGTCTAATATCCATCATTATTGTCTATTCATCATTTAATCATGAATACAAATCATCATTAATTGGTCATTAGACCATATGCTAGGAGACGAAATGATTTTTAGACCATGTGGACAGCAGATGGACTGGGTATAGACAATGTGGAAATAGACTAAATGGGTAGTAGACGAACTGTTCGTAGAACAAATGGTAATTCACCGGTTAGAATTCTACATCATCATGCAGATGATGTTCATTATCGCCTATAATATGTAATGTAATATTGCTTTATACAGATTGTCCATGGACTCGTTTCAAAAAATGAAAAATGACAAAAATCACTGACAAATCTGCTGATAACGAATCAAAAGCAAGGATTTCAGTAGCTTATAATAAGGACTATCATTTGTCACTGATGAAAAGTTTTGTGAAATTAGGCCCTATTCTAGAATGCTACGGAGTGTACTAGGGAAATGCTTGGTCTTTATCTATCCATTATTTTGTGTGTATCTTTCTTTATTTTATGCTAACGCTTCGTAAACTCATTGTTTTGAATATCTGGGGTGGTTTAAAAAAGATCCTAGATTGAACTTTTCTTTAAGTTGGACTTAACAATTATGGTAAGCCGTTAGCATCTTTGCAAATATTTTGTAAAAGTTATTTTAAAAGGCATAAACTGTTGATTCAAAATCATTCATATTTTTATTATCAAGGTGATCTAATGTTCTTGATGTGGAATTTATGAAATGTCTAAAATACTTGAAGATTGGCATTTGAATATTTTATTTTAAGGATACACATGGCTCTCCATAATTGTTAAGTCCAACTTAATACCAACTTAGAGATAAGTTCACCTTAGGATATTTGTGAATCACCCCAAGTCTACCGTGCTAAGCTGTACGGAGCCCGTCATGTTTGGATCCTTCCTGAGTACCAGGCTGAACGGTGGAAGAAAAATGAGAATACTACGGATTATATTATATTAGGGAACATTTTGGCCTTTATCTATTATTTATGTGTGTGTATTTCTCTTTATTTCATGCTAACGCTTCGCAAATTCCTTGTCTTAAATGTTCTGGGACCTGTTTCACAAAGCCTTTTTCAATGACATATTATTACACAAATCAGTGACAAATCTGCTGATAACCAATCAGAAGCAAGGATTTAAGTAGCTTATAACATAAACTGCCATTTGCCACTGATGACAAGTTTTGTGAAACACCCCCCCCCCCCACCAGGTTTACCGCGCTAAGATGTACGGAGCCCGCCATGTGTGGATCCTTCCTGAGTACCAGAGTGAATGGTGGAAGAAGCACGTGAATGATACAGCGTGTACAGGAGATCAGATCGGCCAGGCTCTCAAGGGATACATCGCCACAGACATACTCACACTCAGTGCCAATGAAGAACAGACTATATCCGGAAGGGTAGGTTTCCAACATTTGTATTACTATTTTGGTTGTTTTAGTTGGAGAGAAAAAGTTATGCAAGATTGATCTCTTTAAAGCCCCACTGCACTACTTGCTCCCTCTATATAGAAAACAATGCATAATCGGTGACCATTGGTCCCCATGATCCTCTTTTTCTTATGTTAATTGAGAGCTGAGTTGATTAGAACGCCACCTGTCAGTGACCACCCTGGGTGGTCTAACCCCTTAGTCAAACTAGTATAGACGGCCTTTAATATACATATTTGAAGTTCATAATTATGTAATAGTGTATTCTAAAGAAAACATGTCTATCAGGAATCTGGATATTAAATGTTACAGTCAATACTAAATTTGTGCTTTGAAGGTTGAAAACAATGGTATGAGAAATGTGTATACAAAGCCCCATACATAATTATGGACAATATGAACCATAACCTTCAAGGCTCAATAGAGAGAGAAACAAAGGAGAACCTAAATTTATTTGCTAATAGGCCCGCAATGTTCTTTTTCCACACTAGAAAAGATTCTTAAGACAAACTTTGTCATTGTTATACCTTATAGTAACCACAACCCGACCACTGGCTGTTTGTATCGTTAATAACGTTTGGATATTTATCGAAAATAATAAATATTGAAATATGCACCCTATGTATTTGTGTATAGTCATAGTAAAACAATGTTTAACAGTTCGGTTGCTCTCTTTATCTCTAGTCTCAGTCGCTTATTTGCCTCACGTAATGTTGCACCAAACAATTGGCATTCCTCGGAGGGATAGATTTGTGCGACACAACGGCTTTGCAAAAGACTCCTGTCCGGTCTTGATAAGCTGCATGATTTAATTTTTTTATTTTTTTTTTTTACCGATACAGATTAATCTTTCATCGGAAATTGCTAAATAATCTTGAATCCTTTGGAAAATCTATCCCATGCTAAATGCAGTGTAATGCCAATTTGTTCCAATTTGTTCCCATTTGTTCAATTTGCGTTTTGAAGACAGACATTCATTCATTCTTTCATTTTTGCATTTTCTTTTTTATGTAAATGTACACGATTCTTTGTCATGATGTAATGTGATCCCTAATAATTTGAAGCGCCTTGAGCATTTGATTAAAATGGAAAATGGCGCTATATAAATCTCATGTATTATTATTATTATTATTATTATTATTATTATTAACAGATAATTGATAGTAATATTCCTTTTCTTGGCGTTAATTTTCGTTCAGACGCCATTGGAATATAAAGCCCTCTACGACGCGACACGGAACGGTGACTACTCGGATTACCATGGTTACGCGTATGATGGTATCTGGGTGATGGCTCTAGCAATCAATCACGTGATCAAGATGTTTGAGAAGGAGAATAACCTGGATGCTTTCTTTGATTTTAAGTATGACGATCAGAAGATGTTGGATCATTTCAGTAAAGCTATGAATGAGACCAACTTCCCCGGAGTGACAGTAAGTTTCTTCTTTTATTTTCATTTCTTCTATCTTTTCTTTTCTCTTTGTTTAGTGTCTAATCCTAGATATTGAGAGGTAAAGGTACGTTTCTTCCTTTGTTTTCATTTTGTATTTCTTCTATATTTTCCTTTCTTTTTGTTTGGTATCTAATCCTAGATATTGAGAGCTTGTGTTTTAAATTTCAAGGTTCATTTATTTTTACACTAATCTGCCGAAAGATCCACCTCTCCCTTCCCACATGCGTTCTTGTTCTACTTCCTCCTCTTCTCTTGTTTTCTCTTCCTCCCCTCCTTTCTCTTCTTTCTCTTCTTCTTCTTCTTCTTCTTCTTCTTCTTCTTCTTCTTCTTCTTCTTCTTCCTCTACTACTACTTGTTCTTCATGTCCTTGTCCAAATAATGATCAGTACTATGCACAAAATACATGTTATGGTTGTTAGGGGTAATAGGAGAAACTAAAACGCATCCGTCACAATTGATATTTTACACACAAAAAAACAAACATACACTAGATTTTGAAAGAATTACTATGAAAGAAATTAAAGTATTTCGTCAATATGGCATTAAAACGCCTTTACAAATCAATCATGATATTCGTTCAATCAAGTTAGCGTATTTTGGGACTTGCATTTTACTTATGCAGACACGTTTTAACGAAATGTTTTGTGCAGTCCTGAGGGCCCTGTGCAAAGAAAAAGAAACATACATAGAGGAAAATACTTAGATAACCGTATCAATGTTCAAGCTTTCAAGTTTATTTCAAGTTTATTTATTTCACTCTATCAAAGATAACATAATTGAACATAATAAACATGGTAATTATTATGACTAAACATACAATATAGAAAACATAATGTACATGGTAATAGATATAACAGAGGATATAATCATATAAATCAATCAATAAAGTGGGGTATCTACTAAAAAGCAAAGCTTGTATCATGTAGGTCGCAGTTAATAGGTGTGTAAATAAATTAGGGTATCTGAATTAACATTTTTACAAAATGATTAAACGAGGGTTATCTTTAAGTGACACATTTTACTAAACATATCGTAAACAATTGAGAAAAAAGGGAAGAGTTATGTGCTTTCCTCAGCATAAAAAAAAAATATATTCATTAAATAAAAGGATCAGGGCTTCAAAGCACTACTTGTGTGGAGAGAAAGAATAATTGCAAGGAAAACAATTCAGAAAAGAGAACAGGTACGTAAGGAAAGATTATTAATGTGTTTTATTACCATGACGATTGATCCACATACGAACACTCAATATTCTTTTTATTCCATTACTTACAGGGTGTGGTTCAATTCAGGGAAGGCGAGCGTCTTGGATGCACAATGCATAAACAACTTCAAGGTTTGTGAACGCTCTAAGACCGAGGGACCCCCTTCCCCCCCCCCCCACCCCCCCGCCCCCACCCCATCCCACTCCCTCATGATACCAATGCCCTATTAATGCCCTGGCAAATAGACTAGATACGCGGAGCCGATGAATAATTAAAGTCGATATTCTACTCATTGTACTATAAAGGCATGATCTAGATCACTTTATGAACAGCTTTGTATATCAGAATAAACTCGAAAGAGTCTAATTCGGGGTTGAGTATCTGGGGTAGTTAACTTGACAGAGTCTAATCGGGGATGTGTATCTGGGGTAGTTAATCCTTACTTTTAAAACGTCTTCAGGTTTAATCTACCTGATGAAGCCTTTAAAAGTTTGAATAATCTACAAGATAAAGTTGAGTTCTGGTTATGCGATTGCACTGTGAAAGAAAAGGTGTGGAATGGTTCAGAAAAAAGTTAATAATGTACATGTAGCATGTAAATATTGGTGTGTACTGCAAGGTTCTGGAGTCGTCCACATCATAATAAATTTGGATCAGTCTGGGTAAAGTAACAAGCATTGTACACAGACAGAAGAATATGGGACTACACAAATGGTGTCGGGCTAGCTTACCTTGATTTCCTTATCTTTTTATGCTCATTACTCAGCCATTACACATTTTAACAAATTGTTTGGCAAATGACATTTATTTGTAATCTTGAACATTCAGTGTAAGTTTCGTTTGATTCTGTGAAAATTCATTTTCTTTTTTTACCAGAACTCAGGTTTATCTTTAAGCTATCTCTCGTTGTGTTGAAAGGTGGGGACAAGTGATGTCAAACCAAGACCCGGGACATTGACTTCTTTTATTATCGCTTATTTGTTTTATTGATCATTTCACAAATTCGTGTTTTCCTGACAGATGGAGAAATGGTTAAAGTAGCCGAATATTACGCAATCACCGACTCACTCAATCTCTCTTCCGGATCAGAAAATAAATTCAAATGGGAAGGTAACGTATATAACAATTGTTATGTCAGAAAAAAGCAAAGAAATAAGTGATTAGTTATGACTAATGAAAGTTTTAATAATAAGGATGATAGGAGTCTGCTATTAAAGCGCCACTCTATAGGTCGTCTGTGCATTCCAGTTCTATTTTTTTTAAAATTAAAGTCGTCGTTTCATAATGAGTTATATTATGTACATGTATTACGATAAAGGATAGCGCTTTGCTCTGCTTAGTTTTCATAACCAAACGAAAAGAGTGGGAGCAATTTATGGGATTAATGTGGCTCTTGAGTATCACAGAAAGGTATTTGGTTTGATCCTTGCTCGCTGGGGCAAGTATTATTGCAGAGCCCTCGAACAGAGTAGTATTAAGGTTGGGGATTTCTTGGGGTAGAGAAGACCAAACTGTGTGTTTGTTATTTTTGTTGTAAGACACCAAAATAACCGCAAAGATAGCTAGATTTTATTCTAACATTTCTACATTTTCCCTTTCCGATGTGATTATGACATATTAAAAAAGGTCATGGCCCGCCCTCTGACGTTCAAATGCTCGAGATTCTCAATCTTCGTGTTTCTAAGATAGTCTTCGCTGTGCTCACTACCATAGCAACGGCAGGGATCATCATGGCTGTCTATTTCCTTATCTTCAACATGAAAAGCAGAAATCAGAGGTAAATTTCTTGTTGTATTATGATTGTTAGAGTTGCATTGATTTTGTTTGTTTACTTGTTCCAGACATTTAAGTGTTGAAATTTTGTTTAAAGCCTGTCTTATGTCTTATTTTCATTTAAAAACGGCTGGTATAATTCAAAAATGGTTGGGAGAATTTACTGAAATTCATAGATAACCATAAATATCTTTGAGATTTGAGAATTGTTTTAGGATTGTTTGCATGTTAGAGGGCGAGTACAGTAGAAGGAGTATACTACGTAACATTTCATCAAAAAATTACTCATTTGTTTTCATCGACCTTCAACAATGTTACCGAGTCACTTTAAAGCTTATCTGCCGTAGTTTACAGGAGGGATTAGACCGCTCTGCAAGGTCACTGGACAGGCGGTTATCTCATCAACTCAGCTCTCAGTTAACATAAGAAAAAGAGGATCATGGGGGACCAATGGTCACCGATTAGGCATTGTTTGTTATATAGAGGGCGCAAGTGGCTAACAGTAGTGTAGTGTGCCTTTAAAGAGATAATAACAATAATGACCTTTATCTTCTGATAAACTTTGACCTCTGCAGATTTATCAAGATGTCTAGTCCCTTTTTGAATAATCTTATCATCGTAAATGGGACATTAACCTCCTTATTTCATTGGTGTATTGTGATATAATGTTCTATTTATGATTAAAGAGAAAATAACAATAATGACCTTCGTCTTCTGATAACCTTGACCTCTGCAGATTTAGACATCTTGATCGATCTGCAGATGTCAAAGGTTTTAAGAAGATAGAGGTCATTATTGTTATTACGTGTTAGGCAAAATAAATACATGGTCACGTGTACGGTATCAACCAATCATCTGATTAGGATCCACGTCATCATGTTATAACAATTATGAACTCTATCTGCTGATAACATTTGACCTCTGCAGATTTATCAAGATGTCCAGTCCATTCCTGAATAACCTGATCATCATGGGTGGTATACTGACCTATGGGAGTATCTTCCTCCTCGGTCTCGATCACGGGATGGTTGGAGATAACTCATTCAAAGCAGTCTGCACGGTAAAAAAAACCCTCGGCCTTTCGTCACTTAACACTGATGTTATCATTTCATGTAAAGAAACGCTTAAACACTGAAGGATATTGGAAGATAAAAAAAAAATGTGCCAATATATTTGAAAAATCCTTAGGATTAGTATATTGAAATGTTACTGGCAAAACATATTATTGTTCAGCCAGTCCTCAAAGTAAATTACCTCTGCTTTAAAACTTTCGTTTCTTATTTCATGAAATTCGATGTGTATTGAGACACAGATAGAGGACAAATAACCATTTACTTACCTACTTTAAGAGTGAAGGAATAAATCCCACTTTTTTAATAAATCTTATATAATGACCGATACCTTCTGGTATGACTGGTTTAACGAGTTGACTTTCTTTGTTTGTTTGCAGGCCCGTGGATGGTTTCTTTGTATCGGGTTCACCCTAGCGTTCGGAGCGATGTTCAGTAAGACATGGAGGGTACATCGTATCTTCACCAATATCAAGATGAAGAAAAAGGTAATAATAATGATAATAATAATGGTGGCTTCATATATAGTGCACGTGACCGTCATGTCGTGATGCTCCTGGCGCTCCACCATTATTACCCCGGTCATACAGGCAGCCAATCATGTAGCGCTCTGGCATATCAGGTATCCAATTACACCTTGGTGGAAAGTGACAAAAGTCGATTAATGTTTTGCCAAAGGACGTTAGTGCCAGGGTGGGATTCGTACCCGGACCCTTGGATTGAGAGTCAAGTGTGACCACTGCTCTGGATTATTATACTCTTAACCCTAATAAGGCCGGGCTATTTGAAGTCTTACTACGGCCGGGGGGGGGGGGGGGCCATTATGGCCCCCCCCCCCTAAGATCTCGGCCGTGAAACGGCCGATCTCCGCGAAAATTTGCACGCATGTCAAGTGAAGTGTATAGAACAATATGATAATTTCAATTTTAGAAAAAAATCCCTCATTTGCATATTTATGGTAATTTATGCAAATAACGTCATAAAATCACATTTTTACCCATAAATCCTATATTATTCATATTTAAGCATTCTTTTTCACTACATATATTCATTAGACCATTTGGAACAATAATACGACAAAAAAAATTGGAAGAGCCAGCTTATTCCTTATGTTATCTCTTGTTTTGATAATTTCTTATGTATTTCATTGTTTTTTTAACTTATTTATGTTATTGTTTTTTTTTTTTTTCATTTCTTCCTACAATTCAACTTATTTGACTCCCAAAACAACCACCTAAACTTTAAACAAGACCCAATAACCAATGTTTGATCTATTTTTAGGAAAAATGACATTTCCATATGTTTGTACACAAATCACAAAAATGAGCGATTTTCGGGCTGACATGCAAAGACAAAAGGTCACGTGACCTTGTAACTATAGGTCCGATTTTTTTTTTTTTTTTTTTTAAAGATGCGCAAGACTCTAAAGAAAAAAGTCAGCGAGCGGCGAGGCGCCATCCATATGCGTTCTCGAACAATCAGAAAAATCGTGGAGGGGGGGGGGGGGCCATAATGGCCCCCCCCGGCCTTATTAGGGTTAATCATCTTTTGATCTGTATTCAATATAATAAAGAGCAAGGAGGGCGTTGATAAAGACCATAACGAATGTAGTTATCCTATTTAAAGTGCTCTTTTTCTCACGTGTCAACCCCATTCCTGTTTTCCGACAATAATAGTTCCTTTTCCCCAATCAGCTCTATGCAATTGTAGGTGTGAAGCTCGTTTAGCTCTATGATAGGTGTGATCCTGGTTGTAGATCTCATTTTACACATCATATTCATAACTTATAAATACTTTGTTATTATGCAATGTAACTACACGATGTAATCCAAGATAACACTTTACATGTTGTAAGTCTATATATGCCTACCTACATGATGTCTACTATGCCTGTTGGCAATAATTTCTTTTGTAAAACAAAACTTTTCAACATTTCTGTTCTGTTTGATATCGCCCTCACCAGGTGATCAGAGACAACCAGCTCTATGCTATCGTGGGTGTGATGCTCGTGGTGGATCTCATCATTCTCATTACATGGCAGGTCGTTGACCCCGTAGAACCACGGGAAGTAAGACTCGATGAAAGGGTGAGTAAAGGGGTGATCACATCGTAGCTCAGACTGATTAGAAGTACGTAGCAAGAAGAAAGGTTAGGTAAAGATGTAGCCTCAACGTAGCTTAAACTACGTAGAAGTACGTCATAATACGTTAAATTACGGCCAAATCAATGTATGCATGAAAGTAACAACTATGTTTCTAAACTACTAATACGTAGGAGTACAATAAAACCTTCCACTACGCTTAACCCAAGCTAGTCTAGGCTATTTTGAAACTGCATAGCCTGGGGGGGGGGGCTTCTAAGACCATCCCCATATCATCTCGGCCGTGAAACGGCCGATCGCCTCGAAAATGTGCATGTATGTCAAGTGAAGTGTATAGATTATTATAGTAATTTAAACTGATTAAACCTAAATGAAAATTTACTCATATACATATTTATGGTAATTTATGTAAATAAGTTAATATAATTTACATTTTTACGCATAAAGCATATATTCCTCATATTTACACATTAGTCATAAAGTCATTCAACACTTAATAATATAATACAATTGCGACCAGTTTATCACTGCATTATTAGCTTGGTGTTGCCATCGAACTGCATGAATGCGATGGAATTATGTTCAATCGTCTTTATCTTAGACATACGTAAATAATATTTACACTATTTTGTTGTCTCCCATCATATCATTACAGCAAGACCCTAATGGTCGTGACGTCATCTTGATACCTGTAATGCTGAACTGTAAGAGTCAGAGGACAATGATATGGCTCTCTATTATCTACATCTACAAAGGAGTTCTCATGGTAATTATTCTTTACCAATTATTCCATATGTATCATATATTCAAAGCCCGTCTGTACAAGTTTGGCAAGGGGGATTAGACCTCCCTGCAGGGTCACTGCCAGGTGGTTATATCATCAAATAAGCTCTCAATTAACCAACAGGCACCGATTAGGCATTGTTTACTATATAGAGGGCGCAAGTAGTTATAAGTAGTCCAGTGGACTTTAAATCAAATTGGTAATGTTTGTTTAATCGCTATGAGATACGTTCAGCTAAGTAAGCTGGTTTACAAGTGCGCCTTACATTGTGCAAATGAATAAAATTGAAAGAAGTTGTAGTTCTATTGTTGTCTTGAGGGGGGGGGGGGGGGTAAGGATGATTGCATTGAGCAAATCTCGCTGTCGAGTAATCAAACCTTTCCGTCTCTGCAAATTTATTCTGCAACGTCCAACATCAATTCACGAACTCATACGCGGTCGGGTACAATACTTTACATTATGAAGAAATTCCTGGTGTACAGAAATCACGTGTAAAATGTAACTAATTCATTAAAAAAAACGCTCCGTCAAAAAAAAAATAGAAAAAAAGCTGCGATCAATCGTCCGCACATGCATCATTATTTGTATTTATCATTTTCACTAACTTCACCACTCAATTTCAAAGTACACCAGAAGCATTGGCATTGAATGCGTACAAGGAGTTGGGATGTCTTTACACCAAATAGTCTATGTAAATCTTAGTGTTTAAAATATGGCATTATTTTCATGATATATCACACAAAAATCATACACATCGCTATATCTCATTTACAGTATTTTTTTCTATAGTGGATGGAATAAGCATAAAGTAGGGCTATTATTTGTGTTCATGATAGCGACTACAAAAAACCTCATTTGTGAGAAAGACTATTGTTTAATCGCGGTTGGGGGATATTTTTTTCTCGCAAGTAGGCCTTTACTGTGCACAGTTTATTGCGTTTTCTTTCTCCCCTTCTCAGATTTTCGGCCTGTTCTTAGCATGGGAGACAAGACACGTCAGCATCCCTGCCCTCAACGACAGCAAGTATATAGGCATGAGCGTATACAACGTGGTGATCATGTGCGTACTGGGCGTATCTCTTTCATTCGTCATCACTGATAACCCCAATGCTTCGTATGGCCTCGTCTCCACCTTCATTCTCTTCTGTACAACCATCACACTCTGCCTAGTCTTCGGACCGAAGGTTAGTTACAAGGGCGACGACCCTCCGACCCCCAACCTCCCCCCCCCCGGCCCATCACACTCTGCCTGGTCTTCGGACCGAAGGTGAGTAACAAGGGCGTCCACCCTCCGACCCCCCCCCCTCCTCCGCCCATCACACTCTGCCTAGTCTTCGGACCGAAGGTGAGTTACAAGGGCGTCGACCCTCCGACCCCCCTCCTACGCCCATCACACTCTGCCTAGTCTTAGTACCGAAGGTGAGTTAAAGGGCGTCGACCCTCCGACCCCTCCCTCCCCCCACCCCGCCCCATCACACTCTGCCTAGTCTTCAGAACGAAGGACACTTACAAGGGCGTCGACCCTCCGACCCCTCTCCCCCCCCCCCCCCCCATCACACTGTCTAGTCTTCGGACCGCAGGAGAGTAATACACTCATTGCAATGTTCAGACATTTAAAAGGCGATTGGCAAAGCTATGGAAATTGCCTAATAATTTGTTTTCGAAATTCTTTTCAATCATATTTATTCAAGAGTTGAGCTGTGATTGAGGTAGGTTGACTCTCCCTTCCCTTCTAAAATTTCCTCTAACTGGTAACGAGTCAACTTGGAATAGTGATACACATTGCGTAATCTTGGGTTCTTCTGTACCATTACTTCAGGTAATCGAGCTTCGGATTAACCCGAATGCAAACGAGAGGATTCGGGTTGTCGGTACTCTGGATAAGTCCCGGACCTGCTCTACTAATGCTGGAACCATGGATTCTGAGTGCAAGCTACGAGGCCTAGCCATGGAGAAGAACGAGCTCGCAAAGAAACTATCAGATGTAAGTCAATATTGTGTTTTCTTTCATGGCCAACTTATAGTTTGTTTCTACAGGCAAGCGCCCTCAACCAGATCTTCGAAGGCCCAGCTGGATGCCTAAGCTCGCTGTAAGGATAATAAATATTAGATATTTATATAGCGCACATATCCACCTTGCAAAATGCTCAAAGCGCTCCAACATTACCCCGGCTCTAGTGCTATAGGCTACCGCTTTCGGTGCTCATAGCATTCGAGGAATTCCTTCCCACCTGTACCCGTTTAACACCTGGGTGGAGAGTGGCAAATGTAAATTAATGTCATGCCCTAGGACATTAGAACTGTCTATGAACATGGGGCACGCTGAAGGCGGATGGGACTAATATTTATAATTGTTATCAAATTCATAGAAATAGAAAGTCTTAAAAATGTGATATGACACCTGGTATTCTTAACAGAAGGTAATTTACATTGCAGTTGACTCTGTAACCATTCATGATGATATTACTTGTAAACATTCGAATAATTTTTGTTTTAAAGTAAGACCCCTCTCAATCCATATTAAATAGATATTTTTTTCTGTGGAAAGGTTTTTTGTTTAGAGTAATTTCGTCCGATGACAACAATGTTGCTGTTTTTATAAATGTAATGCTTCCTGGGAGAAATTTCAATTATTTAAACATATTTGTGGCTTACACCCAGTACATAAGATCGATTGATCGATCTGTTATTGAAAAAAAAAGTCAACAAAAATCTTGGAACCAGCGGGACTTTAACCTGCATCTACTGCTTGTTTTGTTGTTGCAAGCGATCTAGAATGTCCCCCACCCCCTTTTAAAATTAGATCAATGACATAAGCGTTCAAGTATTTACTATTTTTATTGCACAGCAAACCAAGATAGTGAAGGATCTTGAGACGGAGTACACCAAGGTCGCTCCAGAAGATGCTCCATTGCTGTTCAGTGATGAGTGGTCATCAGGCTTGGAGAACTCAACAATGTCTGCGAGATCGAGAGGTAAGAAACATCAAGAATAGGCTTTAGGATTCATCGATTGATTGAGTGGTTAGTGGTCGTCGATTAATTGATTGATTGATTGATCATTTTTTTAAAAGATGTTGATTGATTGATAGTTTGAATCGTCCATTAAAGATAAGGAGCAAGATGAATCATACGGTTGTATAATAACATAATAATAGCCTAATAGTCCACTCCAAATTTTATTAAACCGAAACGGAAATTCTTTTTGCCCAATTGATCGTGAGCCCGGCAGCCACTGAGCAGCGCCCCCGGCCCCCCCCCCCCCACTCAGTGTTATTTAGGGTACGCATATGCGTGTTCCAACCGACCCCCCCCCCCTTTTCAGCAAAAGTCCGGTGTGTAAAGTCAATACGGCTCGACCTTTTTCTTTTGTATACGAGCCTTTTTCAGCATCCCCCCCTTTTCAGCAAAAGTCCGGTGTGTAAAGTCAATACGGCTCGACCTTTTTCTTTTGTTACGAAAAGGACATTTTGGCAACACGCATGCGGTCATTTTGAAACCTGAGTGGGGGGGGGGGGGCCGGGGCAGCGCCAGATCGACGTTGCTCTATCCCTTATTGTTGAACGCCAAACAAGGTAGCAACAACTCCCATCTTTTAACGTATTTTGGTATGACGCGGCCGGGGTTCGAACCCACGACCTCCCAGTTGTGAGGCGGACGCTCTACTGACTGAGCCAAAACTCCAGTATATGCCAGGGATTGATTTAAACCACCGATGATTGATTGATTGATTGATTAAAACATATATGATTGATTGATTCATTAATTGATTGATTGATAGGTTGAATCGTCCATTAAAGGTAAGTAGCTAGAGGAATCAAGCGGTTGTACATATGACATGTGATTGGTTTAAAGCTCTGACGATCGGACAAATGGTTCTGAAGGCCAATGGGTTTACGGGCTAAAAGGTTTTATAACCAACCATTTTGAATAGTATTTGTTTGTAGGACCAGAAGGTCGCAGAGTCGGTGGCTGAAGGACAATTTGGACTTGAACAAATGATCCTTATCCGTAAATGAAAGTGATACCTATGTAGAAACGGTTTATGTTTGTATTTCCCTAAGATATCGAGGGTATGTTGTGTCTAAAATAAATGTTCAATTTCCGCACTACTGATTACAAAAAAGTGAGACATCTCTTTCCATCTATCCACTCTCTCTCTCCCTCTCTCCCTCTTTCCACCTCTCTCTCTTTCTCTCTCCCACCTCTCTCTCTCCTACCTTACAGCTGAAAGTAATAAAACAGCGACCTCTCCAGTCAGCGTGACGTTCAATGTTCACTCATCAAAGATCAACCACACTAAAGAGTAGGTCACTCTCGAGTCAAGAATCTTTTTTTTTGTTTCTCGCTTTTCTCTTTTAATTTTTTGTTCATGATAATATGATAAATCAGTGATGTGTCAGAGAGGCAAGGCCCCACACATTTGGTCCGGGTTTTATTTTTCGTTATTATTATCATTATTTTTATAATAATTATCATTTATATTATTATTTATAGTTTACTGTAGTAAAGTATTATTATTATTATTACTACTTTTTTTTTTTTTTGGAGAACCGACTGCCTTCATTGGTGCTGGTTAAGAAAATGTTTTCTGACAGTTTTTCAGGGATGATAGACTAAACATGCTAGCTTTGGTATACAATGTTTTGTTTCTGATCATTAATTTAATCTTATATTCATTTTCATAAGTGTGTTTACCGCCCAAATTTGTTTGTTTTCCTTAATTTGTGAATCTTTCCCAAAGTGTTTAGTAATACGTTCATGTTTCGTTTACTGTTGTTTCGTTCTCATGATTTGTGTATTTCATGTTCTAGTTATTTGAATTTCGTTTTGAATGTATTGGTTAAAGAGCAGTCCAACTTTTGTGTCCACGTACGTTACTGACAACATCTCAATTTCATTAAATTTGATGAGTATATAGGATTAATGACTATATTATACTAAACATTGGGACAACCCGAACACTACACTCTTAGAAAAAAGGGTGCAAAAAGAGTGCAAAATAAGAGTTTGCACCCTTTACATAAAAATAAACCCTATTGAAGAAAAAGGGGTTCAAAAAAGGGTGCAATATAAGATCTTGCACCCTTCCCACAAAAATAAACCCTATCGACCAAACAAGGGTGCAAAATAAAAGTTTGCATATTGCATGCATATTCATGATTACTTTCCACGTGTTCACATAAAAATACAATTATCATGATTTGTTAAGCAAATTATGACAATGCACATCAATTTTATGATTTGTATTTTCCTTTGGCAATCATTAACCAATAGATTATTCTGTCTGATCATGTTGCAATTACATTCACGTTTTAGCAATAGATATATTGATTATATGATTACTAACCAAGAAACATCATGCATGTTTAATATGTATTTGTGTACGAGCAAATTTTACCAGTATTTCTCGATGATGGGTGCAGAATTGCACCTTTTAAAGGGTGCAGGATTGAACCCCTAAAGGTGCTGCTATTGCATCGGTTTGCACCCCTAATGGAGTAGGATTGAACCATTAAGGGTACTAACATGTCTCCTAAAAGGTGCAATCTGGCACCCTCTTAAAGGGTGCAGGATTGCACCTTTCAAAAGGGTGCAGGATTTAACCCTTAAAGGTGCTGCTATTGTTGCATTGGTTTGCACCCCTAAAGGTGCATACTTGCACTATTTTTTTCTTAGTGTGTATAGTAACAGTTAACATGATTAAATGGATGTCTATTTCTGTTCATAAAATGCCTGTATGGCACACCAAACGACCAGATATTTGGGATTTACCTGTATATTTTGTACAAGGTGTGTCATAAAAAAACGTGAATCTGTCAACACCCTCTATAGCTTGATTGTAAACATGTTGATGTTGTGTTTCACGTGTGAGTCGATAGTAACGTCTGTCTGTATGTTAAAACCCATGTCTTCCCTTAATCACTAAACCTCCTTGCAGAGCAGTGGTGACCCCGCAAGTGACGTCATCGCTGAGTACCGCTCAACCTCTGATCCCTCGCTGGTCTGAGGAGGTCCCGGATGATGACGACGATGACGAACACGATCCCGATGGCATGGATCTTTACGCTAACTTCGGCGGCGTCTACATCGGCCCACCGGATAAAAACGAAGACCCTTTGACCGATCCGCTGACCTCTGACATCACTTCCGCCGGTAATACGAATTCATTGGATACCATGTGCACGGATGGCATCGCGGAGTTTCATCGTCCATTCGATGACGTCATGGGATATAACGATTCGATGGATATCGGTTTGATTGATACTCATGTCCCGATACATCCAGGCGGTGTTATCGATAAACTATCGCCTGTTCAGAGTGTGAACGAAAAACTCTCATCTTCTGGCAGTGTGAACGACACGTTTGGTATGAATGATATCCTGTCCTCGAATAGTAGCATGAATGATACTTTTAGTGGTTTGAATAATAAGACATCGTCGAATTGCAGTGTTTCGAATGGCGGGAATACACCGACAGTTCCGATATACAAATATTCAAGTTTACTAGATTAAAAATGTGTGGTGTGGTTCTCTTTTTTACATTATGTTTCGTTTCATGCATTTATGCCATGTATATCTATGTGTTATACATCGGGCCTATATGGGTGCATATCGCTTTTGCTTTACTCGAATTCTTAATGACATGCGTCATTTCGTGTAAATATTGAATATTACAACTTTCGCATTGTTTTATAGTGGTTTGTTTAGGCTAGTCTTTTTATCTCCGAAGGATGAATCAATCTTTTTTTCACAGCGGATTTCTAGACATAGCAATGTTTGTGATAGGTGTGTGGTACTACACGTGAGCTTACTTTTGGTATACCTTAACTGAAATACAGATCAAGTTAATCTAATTTTCGCGTTTTTTAAGGCACTTGTTATTTGAGAATTGACCATCGTATTGAATATCATTATGTTTACCAATATAATAATTGACAATAATGATGACAATAATACCTGTTTCTTATAAAAATGCTTTATCAGTGACAAACAACCCCGGTCAGTGGACCCATTTACCATTCCGCACTATACCATGAACATTCTCCACTCCCTGGGTAGCATTCCAGCTAGTCGCCCTTTTTGTTTATGGGCCAAACATTCGAATGCGATCCCTTTAACCATGGTATAACAGGTACCCCTCGTAAGCTACCCGCCATAAAGCCGTATGGTACATCTCTTGTCATTTGTATTTATGGCCTTAGTGTGGGCAGCTGACGTCATCCATCACCTGTGTGGAGAGGAGCTATATAGATATCTCCCTTACTCAATCACATTGTACCGTACCTGGGCTCCACCCCGCGACCTTTTCGCTCTCAGTGTTTCAAGTATCCAAAGTTGTTTATATTCCATTTTTTTCTTGAAGTTTAACCCGAAAAGGGATCAAGTACGGACATGATGAAATATTTTGTTATTTTAATCGTTATGCTACTACACATCGTTCTACTTTAAGAGGGGGAGGACCCCCCCCCCCCCCCCCCTCCTTACTTCCGGGCTGTGCCTTGGACTCGCCGATCGGGTTACATATATAAAATATTTCCATTTCTTACTTTTGCCCATCTTTGTTATCATAATATGAATGTCTAGTGTTTTACTGTATCCCTCATTCAAATTATCTCCCGAAAGACCCCTCCCCCTCCCTCCCAAAGTTTTATCTTCTTTCTCTTTTTCTTTACTTCGTCCTCTCCTTCCTTTTCTTCTTATTCTTCTTCCCCTTTATATTCTTCTTCGTTTTCTTTTTCATTCTTGTTTCTTTCCTTTTCCTTCTTCTTCTTTTCTTTTCTCTTGTTCTCCCTTTTTTCCCCCTTTCCTACTTCTTCTTCTTCCCCTTTCCTATCTCCCCTCTTGTTCCCCTTCTTATCCTCCTCCTTTCCCTTTCCCTTCTCCTTCTCCTTCTTGTTCTTGTTCTTTTTCTTCTTCTTCTTGATCATGTTAGTAGTGTAAATAAACTGCAACAGAAAAATGCTTTCCAATTGTCGGTATTATTTAAAAGATAATTTTGAATAAACAAGTAATTTATTCTGTTTAATTGGGTTTCTATTAAGGTAACCCTGTTTCATTCAGAGTGAAGATAACCACGAGTGGAGTACCATTAATACCATTTACAAGTAAAACGGAAATCGCTGTAGTCATTTCAATTCTTTCTAGTAAACTGGATATCGCTCTTCAAAAGAATATAAAACCTGTCAGTTTGTAATTTTGTATACGAATGTTGATCATTATTGTTATACCCTTGAAGAGTAAGCAGAATATATTATGTGTGCTGAAATAAATATATTATACAGAGAACGTTTTAAGATGATATATAATGACTATGTGATGTATATACTAAGTTCAGAACTGTACATTAAAATTGTAACACGTCAAGATTATATTGTCGAAGATTAAGATATGTTGATATTAATAAACTTTCTTTAAAACAAATATACATAGCGTGAAGTTTATTATAATAGTGTGTGTCCTTTATCAGCAAAAACATATCTCTTGTTTTTAGTTTCGTCGAACAGTACAGTTATTGGGATCCGTAGTTTATCTGAAGGTCAAGTAGCCTTTAAAGAGGACACGATGAGAACAAAGAAGAATTGGGGGCGTAGATTAAATAATGGTATGTTCGTTTGGGAATTCCCAGACGTTCTTTATCTGCTGATTAATCAACGCAAGTATCACGTGATCTATCAATCTCGACGGGGGAGGGAAGTTGTCGAATGAGGTTATTTTCAGGGGGGGGGGGATTGTCCTCAGGGAGGGCTGTGATTGTCCAGCGGGATAATTTTTCCGGGGGTAATTTTCAGGAGGGTTATTTTCCTTGGGGGGGGGGGGATTGTCCCGTTGTTAATTTGCCGGAGCGTGATTGTCTAGGAGGTTATTGTCCTAGAACCTATGTACAGAGAGAGAGAGAGAAAGAGAAGAGAGAGAGAGAGAGAGAGAGAAAGATAAAATTTGAGAGAGAGGCTAAAAGATAAAGAAAGCTTGGTGTTAAGTGATAGAGCAATATTTGTAATTGTTATCAAATAACATGTTATCAGTTATAAAAAGACTAGGTGGAAAACCCAAAGGAAATGTCCGATAAAAAAAATGTATAGATTTGGTTTGGCAGAGAGATGTCGTGTCTTTTATGCAGTATGTCTTTGAGCACCTTGCAATATACATCAGTCATATTAAACTCTGCATGATTTTAGATTCAGTGCAGACGCCGAAAGAATTCATTATTCTTCGTCAACTCCTTGACCATCTTCTGAAGCCCTGAATCGGTGATATTGACTTTATTCTCAAGCTCAACAAGGCAAACACGAGCACACGATGTCAGGTAAGATTCACACATGTTTTTAGAGGATTAATACAAAATGTTGAACTGTTCTTAAAATCACTTCTTTATTAAAAAAAAAAAGAACTACGTACGGAGTATACATAGAATGGATAAATCAACATTGTTTGATGATATGAAATATAAATCATTTCACAAAGTAGTGATGTAAAAATGATTCAGGGAAAAATGCAATTCTACCCGGTCCATTGGTTATAAAGGCAGATAACAGAATTTTTAGCATATAATCAATCATACATATACATCAAATGCATGACACATGTTTGTACTCTGATAGCTGTAATCTGGCATAATGGGGTCCACAGTTTTCTGTTTTACGTCATCATTACGTTCTTGCGGAGATTGATTTACGATCAATTAATCTAGTTTAAGTATGCCAGACTTAAAGGTACTATGACCCATTTGCAGACCAAAAAAATGAAAACGTAAAATACCAACGGCATTTGAAAGATAATACTAATTTAGAACTTCCCTAAAAAAGGGGGACTTGAAAACGTCTTTAAGTGGGAAAATAATGGCTATTAGTTGTCGAATCGACTTAGGAGTTATAGAGCCAATACGTAATAGTCTTGATTTTCAGACCAGTGTATCGAATGGTCGTACGTTTTATGGTGCGCAAAGATTCAATCAGTTTAATTTTGGCCATTACAAGAGTGGGTTATTGATAAAGACAAATACTTATGTACCCTTTACAGCTAATTTTATGTATGTTATTACCAAAGAAGAAAAAGGCTAGTCAGTCACTCAATAGTGTCTGACAGTGAAGTCTAGCAAGTAAACGGATTTCCGTGCGAAATTTGAATATTAGGATACTGCTAACGTTTAAATTTCACAGATAGGACATACATTACATATGCATAATTCCTGCAAAGCTCTACAGAATTTGGTGTTGGCTGCAAAAAGGACATAGTATCTTTAAGTATGCCAGACTTAAAGAGAAGGTTGAGATCTTGGAAGAGGTAATACATAATTTTTGAGCGTTATCATTGTTATTAAGCAAGAGCTGAAGAACATCAGATACAAAAAGTTTCTTGAAAAGCAAATGCCTTAATAGTAAATATGGCATGTAACAACGTAGGCCACATGTTTGAATAGTGCCCTTTACATCTTTCTATGCACAGTGTTTGTAACCAAGACTGGGCAAAATTTCTTTTCATTTTAATGATTCCACAACCTTGCAGTACACACCAATACTTATTTGCTAAATGATCAACCTTTTCTGATCGATTCCACACCAACTCAACTTTATTACAGACACTTTCATTAACCCTAACCGTGAAATTAACAAAAAAGAAGATTTTAATTATATATTCATGAATATAATCTGTGCACGGTAGAAAGCCTAAATAGCGACAAAACTGTTTTTTAATTGGGGCCGTGTCAACTTTAAAATACATTCATAAACGTTGGAAATTTGAAAACACAAAAAATGCCAACTCTTTCTCTTTATCCTTCCGCTCTTCCCCTTTCTCTCTCCCTCTTTCTTCACACACACACATGCACACACATAAATATATTAATATATCCCTCCCCCTCCCTCTTAATCTTTTTTTTAATCTCGCGCTCTCTCTCTCTCTCTCATTCTTTCTCTTTTGCTCTCTCTTTCATTCTCTCTCTCTCTTTTTCTCTTGATTTCTTTCTTTCTTTCCCTCTTACTCTCACCTTTATGTCCAATATAATCCGTTACTCCTTCCTTTAAAAGATACGAGATACCTCGTGGACGCGACACACAACGCTGCTTACGATACATCCTACTCACCAAGCCCTCATGATGGGCCAATAAATTGGGATGCAACTCCGTCAAGAAACCTGGACTACTCCACACAGGGCCAGGGGATGTTTTCTAATGGTCCAGCGGATATGCCATCAACAGGAGTTGACATTGACAGTTCAGTAAGTCTAAAATTATTCTGTTTCAATAGAAGGGGGCAGTTCTAGAGGGGTGGCCTGGGGCTCAAACCCCTCCCACCCTACCCCCTCCGTGACAAATAATTTGATGATTGTAAATCAATTTAAGCACATTGAGCTGGCTTTGTTAATTGGAAAGGGAGCCTTTAAATTGTGAATCCATTAATTTAAGGGCCCAGGCATTACTGGGAAGGATGCAACGAATTGATATATTAAACAAATATTTAGACATAGATCCGCATCCCATTTCATGTACAAGATATGCACATAAATGTGTGTATTAATGATATCAATTTAACTATTCATTTATTCATACATTCATTCATTTATCAAATTTATCAATTATTTATTTGACTAATCATTTACTAAATCACTTTTTGTCTAGTCAGGTCTATTTTTGTATCTAATCATTCATTTAATTTCTTTAAATATTATTTTTGTTTAATGATCATGGTTTTTATCACATTTCTTTGTACTTCATCTCATTTCCCTCCTTTTTCCCCTTGTTTTTCTTTCGACTGTTCAAGGTCAGCACTCCCCACCCATCTGGCCACTTTGCTGCGGCCGAGCAGGCACCGCTTGGGGTTTGGGGATGGTGTAAGTGCGGACTTTGGGTTGTTTCAGCTATCGTGACAGTAGCTCTTTGTATTTTATGGCTTGTCATTGAATTCCGATACTGAGACGCAGTTTACCACGATTTGGATTTTTTTTAAATGAGGTCTGACGAACAACTGTCGGTCCTTTTCATTTTCCATGTTTATATTTTGTTAATGAAAAGCTTGTATTACATTCCCAAATTACACTCGTTAATATGACTTTCAAACTATTGTCCTCGAGAGGCGGGGGGGGGGGGGGGGGGGGTAGTTGTCGGGGGTAATTATCCGGGGTAATTTTACGGGAGGTAATTGTCCTGTTGGGATAACTGTCCTCGGGGGTAGTATTCTGGGGGGGGGGGGGAGGGGAAGGTAATTTTCCGGGGATGATTTTCCAGGGAGTTATTGCCCTGATACGAAACCATTTACAGGGAAAGTCTACAGAGAAATTAGAAATACGAGTCACTGAAAGTTAGAGCGAATTCCCATTAAAATTAAGTAAGTTATAAAGTTGCATTCAATCAAACACAAATAAGTAATTTAATATGTATTTTGCGAACTCCTCTCAAGTTTGCTATGTAGGCTAGCCTACCTGAAAATTCATCAACTTTCTTTTTTTCGTTAGTGATAACTTAATATCTGTATTCATGTCATTTCTTTCTAGTAAACTCTATATCGCCGTTCAAACGATTTTATAACATGTCAGTTTGTAATCTACCAAGTTCAGAGATGTACATTCAAATTGTAACTACGTTAAAGATAAAGGTGAGTTCTGGTCATCCGATTGCATTGTGAAAGGAAAGGTGTGGAATGAATCAGAAAAAGTTGATCATGTAGCATAAATGTATTGGTGTGTACTGTAAGATTCTGGAGTCATCAAAATCATAATAAACTTGGCCCAAGTCTTGGTAAAGTAACAAGCACTGTACACAGAAAGATGTATATAAGACTACACAAATCGAGTCGGGGCTACCAACATACATTTCCTAATCTTTCTATGCTCATTACCCACCCAATATACACTTTTTACCAACATTGTTTGGCAATGACATTTATTTGTAATCTTGAACATTCAGTGTAAGTTTCGTTTGATTCTGTGATAATTCTTTTTTTTTGACCGGAACTCATCTTTAAGAAGATATTATCGAAGATAAAGAAATGTTTATATTAATACACATTCTTTAAAACAACTATACATAGCGTGTAGTTTATTATAATATTGTTTGTCATTTTGTCATTTGTTTTAAGTTTCGTCACGCAGTAGAGTTATTTGGATCCGGAGGTCAAGTAGTTTTTTTTAAGAGGACACGATAAGAACAAAGAAGAATTAGGGGCGTAAATCGGACAATGACCCTTCGTTTGGAAATTCCCAGTCGTTTTTTATCTTCTGATTATTCATCGCAAGTATCACGTCACCTATCAATTCCGGAACCAAGGACCTGTTTCATGAAGCTTTTTATTGATAACAAGTTACAATCCCTGTTACAAGCTACTGAAATCAGGCCATTTGATTGGCTAAGAGCAAACTCCTTATAGAGTGTAAAAGAAAATTTCGACAATTGTGCTCGTGGGTAATATACCTAAATACTGAATATTATAATAATCTTACAAATGCTTACAATGAAAAACAAAATATTATCTACACGTCTCACAAATCTAAAAAATGAGCTATTACTTCAAGTTGAAGTTGAAGTTCAAGTTCGTTTATTTATTTCATTTTCATAAAAAAACACAGCAATTGCAAATAATCATACAAGTATATATTAATGCAAGGAATGTTTAGTTAATACCATAGTTTCAAATGAAAATAGAGAACAAAGGAAAAGCCCATGGTAGCTTTGTATAAAAAAGTTCCCCGAATATTATAATTTATATTATTTATATTATTGAGCATAATGGGTTAAATATATCACAAAATACAGCGATAAACAGAATATAAAGAGAAAACATACAAAAACATGTATGAAATAATTTAAAATTGGAGGGGGCAACAAGGTTTGGAAGGTAACTTTAACGATACTCAGGAACGTTTCACCACCTCAAGAAAAAACAGAGTTGAAAAATATATATTTCCTGTACAATAGTAGTGAATATTTCATAAGCGGAATCTGTGCACTGCAAATGGAAGTTAATTTGAAAAATTAAGACATAAATTTACCCTTTCATCCCCTTATTTACAAGCCAGTAATAATATAAAAATCACATAACATATTTACTGTTTGTATAACATTTTGAAAGTAGCATGTTTTGTTATAAACTCTTATAATAATTGAAATAGATTATCACCGTAGTATGAGCATTAATAAGGGAGTATGAGCATCATGATAAAGATTGCCAACTCTGTTGATTTCATAACATGTTCATTATTGTTGATCCAGCATGTATCAATGCTGACACCATACCCCTCTGCTTCGCTTGTTGGCTCTATATACACATATCTTCGTAAGCGTCTTCCAAATCTGATTTTGTGCTATCTGGATAGGGTACGTTGATGGCGGGTTTCTTCAGACATTGATGGGTATGAGGGTCGGTATCAGTATTAAGGTCTTCGTAAGTATTGGGGTCTTGGTTGGAGACGTCAAATGCACGATTCTCATGCTGAGATGAGGTCTCACGTGCATTGTCTGGTGGCGACGGTTCGGCCGTTAAACGCCTTTGTTTTTTCCTGGAAGTGAAATAGAAACAAATATTTATTTCCTTCTTCTCTGTAACGACATTGTGAGTACATGTACACACACAAACACACGCACACACACCCACACACTCAAAGTTCAAATACAAGTGAAGGAGAAAAGGTCCTTTATTATCATAATAGCTGCATGTGTGTGATTGTGGATGTATCTTATAATACAATACTTTTAAACACATTATAAACAATTCATTGTATATATTGAAGGCCTTAAGAAAAATAGTAATAACTAATACTATTCCGTTTGTATACAGCGCTTAATACCAATGTATCTAAGCGCTTTACAAATATACTATTACACCGGTCATTGGATTCAATACTTGCCCGCATACGGAAAATCTTGCAATCACTTTGTCCATTATCGTTTTGTCTCACTTCAGATTGTCAAGTATTTGACCTTTTTTTATCGTCTAATTTTGTGTTCAAAGAGTTCATTACTGACCAAAGGTAGTGTACTGTACATTATGATAACCAAAACACGCATCAGTTTAAAGGAAAACCATTGAGGGTGATATCAAATCTATAATTTGATTTATGTTAAAAATATATTGAGTCATACTATAGTTTTGTTTTCGTTATCATCTGTCTGTTTACAGTGTATTTTAACTATTTTAATGACCTTACTAGATAACGGTCTCCCTGTCACTTACCTTCTAAAGATGACGAGAATGAGAATAATGACCAGGATGATATTAATGAGGGAAGCCATGGAACCCCATATTATCAGTCCAACTGATGCACTGGGAGAGCCATCTATCGTGTTGTAATCATAAATGAAACATGACTCATACAATGTACCAATCAAATATAGGAATGCGGTGGCTCCTGTATTAAAGTCTAGGGAGAATGGGGAAATTCATCTTCATTATTTTATATATTCATTTTGTGTGTGTATATTCATGTATTGTGCAATCAGGTACATTAGCCACGTAAAGTATCAGCAGATGTTGGCAATATTGACAGCTGGTCACATCATCGGTTCCTATGAGTAAAGATTGGATCGCTCCTGTTAAGGAATTCAAAAGCATGTCTTGGAGGAATAATGTGCTCTAAACGTATGTGTTTAGAACTTACGACTTACAAATGATAAACCCTTGCCATGGGTTGTTTGCTGTCCATAGATCCCCCCTTTTCCATAATTTGTGGGATCTCAGGGACTACAAATCAATTACAAGTGACATTCTGTGTTAAAACTATTGATCTTAGTTTGTTCGTGGATGGAAGGTTAAAAAGAAGTGCATGTAGCGTTGCTGTAAAAGGGTATTTATAGTATTGTGTATATTAGCGATTTAATATAAAGTAAACGGTAAAAGGCTATGTCTGTTAGACCATTTGTGCAACAGCGTTACGAATTAAGGGATAGGTTTACGCAGATTTGGTTAAAGTAATATAAATAGTTAACTGATTTTCAATTCTTCAGTTTGATTCAAAACGCTTGTTTTGTTGCTTATTTGAGCTCCAAATATATGGGAATAAAGTACCTTACGCAGATAAATGTTTGTTTCTGTGTCAGGAAGTAAAACATAACAATTCTTAGTTCGAAAAAGTGTTTGCAGACATTCTTGGGCAAAATGTGTCATCCATGGAACAGAAGGGACTAAAGAATGACAAGTTATGTCCACCTTATATCATTCAAGTTGAGATAGAACTTTGTGATACACTTCTTAACACATTGCTTTTATTTTTTTATATTTTATTTGCTTTTTGTTTTGTTTTGCTTAACACATTGCTTTTAGTTATGCGAAACATATGGTTCCAGTATACTAAAACAGGGCCCTATGATTGTCAATTATACATGTATGTTGTTCCTATGTTCATATGTTGAAGCAAGATTGTTAATGTAAATACAACAATTATCCTATATGGACACAATAAAGATATGAAATGAAATGAAATGTGGGAATGAGTAAAATTTAGTAGTCAAATTTTAAATTATTATGGAAAAAGGTTTAAAGTATGAACACAATATTGATCAGCCTTATAATGCTCTTACCTGACTGTATAGTCTTAGCATTCACAGGTTCTGACCAATTACTAGAACCAGCTCCATTCACGGTCAGTACCTATATAATTAAACATGGATATCATTACAAAAATAGTTCTATAAAAAAAATTTCTTAACAATGAACGATATCGTTTCTGATTCTTTTAGAGACTTAATTGTGATTCGCGCTATATAAAAGCTGAATATTATTATTATTATTTACTAAAAGCATACCTACAGCTGTCCTTTTAGAAGCCAAGTGAGTTCAATTCTCAGACCCCTTCCTCTCCCCCCCCCCCAAACAAAACAAAATAGCTGTCATCGTTTGGTTTAGGCATCGCATCTCAAGTGCGGATTCTCAAAAAGGATATTTGACAAAACATGCTCATCAATGTGTGTCAAATTTATAGGGCAATTTACCAGTCTGAATTTAGTGCTCGTGTCCTCTGAGTGCATCCATTGTTAAGTACATTCAAGTCAATTGCATCTAAATACAGCTACCCCAGTCAATAGTGAATGGTATACTTGCATAGTTGACCACTATAAAGCAGGGCTCCTACTTAGCCGAGTTGGAACCTCGAGTTGTGGCGAGCTGGCGCGATCTTATGGCAAGCCGTTTTATTATTAATTGTTATTAAGAAATAAATTCTTGATATCAAGAAATAATTTTACGTTGTAAAGCAATGGTAATTCTTGATATCAAGAATTCGATTTCGTGATATCAAGAAATATGTTTTAATGATAAAACTGCTTGCCATAAGATCGCGCCAGCTCGCCACAACTCGAGGCTCCAACTCGGCTAAATGGGAGCCCTGCTTTAAGTATATGCATTATTACAGCATTGATTAAAGTCAGCATTTTTCCCTCTTACGAGGGATTACTGACTATCACGCCCTTCCTTCACTTCTTCTTGTCTCAAGCATCCTCCTCATTTAGACCAACCCCACTCGGTTTTCTTTATATCTTTCTGTCAAATATTGATCTTCCTTTCCCTCTTATGCCATCCACTTCCAGAACCCACGCTCTTTTCACATGTTCATCATCTTTACTTCTCAAGCAAGACCCGTCCATGCTAATCCTCTCCTATTCACCACTTCCCAACAGTTTTTTTACAGGCCCAACCTTTCCATGCCGTATATAAATGCATACAAGTACATGACATGTATTACCTGAACTGAGTAGATGGTCTTTGCTATCAGGTCTATAACAGTATGCTCTCCTTCAAACGCACCATTCGATACTTCCTCCATCTTATAGCCACCATCAGTAACGAGATCAGTTCGCTTGTAGCGGATAATATACTTCTGGATGTTACCATTCAAGTTAGATGGTAGAGGGGTAGACCAGGATACAGTGAAGGAGCTTGTAGTACTCTGTGGTATAGCCACATTGATAGGACTAGGTGCAACTGTTAATGGAAAGCAGATAATAAGAGTCTTTATTAACAAACTTGTATGAACTTTGTATTAGATCATTTACATGATTGTACATATTAATCGTATGGGACAGGTCTCAAGATATCCCAGGATAGGGTCTAAAAATGTATATTCAATTCAGACTGTATACAACTGAATAATATTGATTGTATCTCATTTGCAAACATAACAATAATTGCGGATAGTCTTACTGCTCCTATCATTCCCCTCATGGGAAATGTGTTTAACTCTAACAATATCAAAATAAATAACAGCGCTTTGCACATCTTTTCTATATATATCAGAATAAGAAATTTTTCGTTACAACAATCCAAGAAAACTAGCTGATGAAGTCTCACTTTCTTCAACTGTTTTGCCGATAGTCTCACTGCTCCTATCACTCTCCTCGTCTTTATTTGATGCAGTTATTTGAATGGTATAGTCCAGATAGGTATCCAACCCTCTTATCGTGTAGGAGCTAGTGTCATTAGGAACCATGAGAGAGTTTGAAGAAGTTGATCCACTAGAAGCATAGTAGATCATATAATGAGTCACTCCACTCCTGCATTCTGCTGATTCTGAGGGGAGGTGCTGAAACATAAAGGTGCAAATACATGTTACATGCATCACAACTAAGATACTTTCACACTAGTAAACAATACTAAAAGATGTTATCATATTTTAACAACAGTTTCTCGCATTAATAAGGATGCTGCAATAAAGGTGATGGAGCATTCTGCTCAACCAAAACCCTTGATCACAGAACATCTTTATATAAGCTTCCTACTTTGAAATTACATCAAAATTGTATTTTATAAACCCCAAAACACACACTCCCATCTTGCGAACTGAAAATGAATACACCTGTATTCAATTACGAAACATTTCATTTAATCACATGTTGAAGTACGTAAATAATGTCAAAGGCGTAATAGTGAAGTAAGTAAATTAAACGTTCATATTTGACATATCTCGATTAAATTGTAGGTAAACTTAGATTTAATCTGGGTAGTACATTATATTTACCAGCTCTATGGCCTAACGGTGTGGTTTTACCTCAATACAATCTATTGTGACTATCAACAGTTATGCATTTTGCATTTCACTAAGTGACCAAACAGCCATTCTTAAACAGTTCATACCTCCCATGTCACCTCTAGCTCTTTCGGGTTGATGGTTGAAACTTGAAGTCCAGTTGGAGAAGCACTGGGTTCTGAAGTTTAAAATTATATATAAGATACTAAATGGCTTTGATCTATAGTAGATGATGTCATTAGAAGTATATGCAGGTCATGGCAAAATCATGCAATGCTCTGACATGTACTATTTGTGTGGCTCTAAATTAAAAGTTTAAACAAAATATGAAACTGCCATCGGGCAAAACACAATGAGGGTCACTATAAATATTATTTTGGGAAATGCATGTTTTGTAGAAGGAATTGTTTTTATCACATTTTTTCTAAAGACAGAAAAATCAGATAATGAAATGTATGGAATGAAAAATATAAACATTTTTATGTGACCGATGATAATCTTAAGACCCTTCAATCCAATGTAAAGCGCATAAATATTCTAATTGTATGTATACATCATTTACTTATAATGTTATACGTGTACTTTGACAAATAACCATTTTCAAATGTTTTATTCTGTACTCTGAAATCATGACAAATCCTTGGCTAATTTGATAATTTATCTTCTGAGTAAACTTACTTCTACAGCGAGTTATTGCTTCGCTACTAGGAGACACAGGTCCTGTTCCACCGGTTCCTTCCCTCACTGCTGCTACACGAAACATGTAATCTGTGTCTGGTGTCAGGTTACTAACGATGGCTGATGTTGTGGGTTGATCTACTCTCTGATCCGTTACCACTTCACCATCCTCCTCTACAAAGACATCATATCCTACCAGAGGAGGATCACCTATGTCATCTTCTCCAGACCATGCATGCCATCGAAGACCTACTGTAGTTGAGGTGGTGCTCACTATCACTGGTGCTTTCTCAATGACTGGCAGAACTGACAAAAATAACCGTTTAAATCAATGACACACCTATAATTGAAGTTCTTCTATCTAGTCAATATGTCTAGCATTTACCAAAGTACACAAGAAAACTAACAACATAACTGATGCAATCCCTTGTAACCCGGCCTCTATGCAGACAGCGTGACTGGAAACGATAATACATTTAAGATATTTAATTATTATAGATATGTCGACTGCTACGAAAGGCCTGGCTGTTGTATACGCCTAAGGGGACGTTGCCTCCTCCCATGACCCCGAGGCGCGCCTGGATGGGTGGCGCGCCGAGGGTACATGGAACGATGCAACGTTCCCGAGAGCCAACAGCCAGGCCTCGAATATTAAAGCAGTTGATATTTTAAACTTGATATGTCTTTCTTTTACCGAATTGACACAAAAATCGACCAAGAATGCTGACTTTATACTTTTCTTAAGTAATGATTGGTTAAAACATCACGGAATGTCTGTTAATCTTCAACGGAAATATGTATGAATATTAGAATAATTTGACAATCACAAACAAAAAGCATTTTATAATATCCGCGCTCGCACAAACTAAGTCTAACACGTAAAGCAATGGGGATCCCAGCAAAATTTTGATATTTCCCCGGTATCCGAATCTTGCGGGAATCTCACTCATGGACTAACCGGTACTCTGGCATTGTTCGATTCTTTACGGGAATTGCTAAAATTACGACTCCAATTTCGACCAATCAGATGGCTAGATTTCTAAACATAGGTATATAATGCTTCATATTTCACACATATCTCACAGATGCAGTAGAGTAAAGCGATGTTTCGCAGTTTGCTTACCATAGGTTGCGTTGGTAATGGGCGTACTGGGATAGCCTACATTTTCAACGGTAAGAATGCAAACGTATTCCCCATATTCATGTGTATACACACTAACAACATCAAAGACAACAGCTCGTTCTGACCCTGAGACAGTGCTAGATCTCCTGGTGATTCCTGTCGTGTTATAGCTGTTTCCAGTCTGTCTGTAAAGATCAACTGAGGATGCATTGGGAAGTGGGATGCCCTCAACATAACATGTGAAGCTAGATGGTTGGTATGGGTTCACTCTCACTGGAACCAATCTTGATATTCCTATCAAGAATTAAACCATATATCAAATATCAAACTATGCACATTAACACAGAGCAAACTTTAACCCAAACCTAAAGGGGGCGCTATAGCGATAGAGGAGTTAGATTAACTTGTAACCTTAGGATGGTTATTAGTGTGACATTGTAGAATAGAATAAGTCTCGACTTTTGAGGTACTGGTTTGTTAATATAATCGCCTATGTTACCGATTGTATGCCAGGGAAGGGTACACAAGGCCTGGCCTTAAATTTCTGCATTATATATATACACAGGTGTTTATTTTCGATAAAATGTCCCATTTATGTTAGACAATAAACTGTTTTTTTCAGGGGATTTAGCGTTCTTGTGGGGCTGTAGGCACCTCCTACTTTCTCCGGTTCACAGTCAGTACCACTCTAGTCATTGGTTATATCTAATTTAATTTATAACTCCTCTCTCGAGGTCGGTGGCATATCTACATACCCTTTTTTGTAATTGGTTGTGTTCCGATTGGCTATAGTACTATCATGTGTTATCCAAGAGTTGCCTGGCGCATGAATAGTTAAGGGCCATGTGCATGAGTTTATTTGGGCCAGTTAAGTTTGATCCATTTTAGAATTAAAGTGTGCTGCTAAATTATCATGATCTATAGGGCCGCCCAGCCTCTGAGAGAATATTTATTATTCAATTTGAAAAAATGAATAATGTTCGTTTTAATTACTGGAACTTCGGCCAAGTTTGTAGCGATAAGTAAGTAAAATAATTATTAATTAATAAAATTGGACTTCAACTGTATTTTCGAGCCTGTTTCGTCTTTATTTTGACTCTGAAGATTAAACCGCTGACCCATTACAATATCAATGCAATACTCCTGGCAAGCAAATCATTTATGTACTTTAAAACCAATCACTATTATTAATCACGATGTCTATCCACTTGAAAAAAAACTATTTTGTACAACAAAGATTATCCGATAACAGATAAACACTTGGGATTAAAAAAGATTTTGTGTTGAATGTTTTACTACGCACCTGCACTCACTGCATGTGTAGTATGGGAAATTTCTTAAAGAAAAAGATTGCACTAAATGTTTGCATAAAGATAAACAATACACATAGGTATACAAACTCGTTTGTATACTTACGTGTACGTGCCTCTCCAAAATAAGAACCGATAATGATGATAATAACAATTAAAAAAACAATAATAACAATTATTTGCAAAGTGCCAGTTGCCGCCAGATAGGGATGTTCATGGTGCTATACAAATAAATTAGCTTAAACTAAGTTAAAAGAAAATTAAATACATGCAGACATAGCTCCATATGCATACTGAGGTTGTTTTTAATCTATATCATTTTAAGCTGAACGAACCAAAACATAATATGCTGGGTATAATTACTTTGACAGTACGGATCAATCCAGCCTTCATGGCATTGTCCCTTGCAAACACCCCTCTCCGTTTCGCAAGCCTCTGGAGCACAATGACATTGCTGAAGACAATCCAAACCAAAGGTACCCCCTTCACACTCTAAAATATAATTAAACAAAAGCGTAAGGTCACATATTAGAAACAAATGGTAAAACAATCGTACTGTATTAACAACAATTTTAAACAGTAGAAAGCAAAGCCCTGAGTAATTTGTCCTGGAGTGTAATGGAAGCGTGTTACACCAAAATCAAACACGTTTCCATCAAATGATGTTAAATAATTATATTCCCATCTTGATTCCTCCTAATTCAAAAAGTGTTTACATAAAGTTTTCACTCCGGACATGATCACTTACGTCAACCATAATACAAAACCTTCTTGTGCTCTCTCGAATTTGCAATCACCATATTTGTCATGTCTTCAATTTGTGTTAAGGCCCCACAAATAAACAGTTTGTCTAAAGCAAATCAAATATGGCTTGTTTTGGACAACTATGTGATCAATATTTGAGACTAAATGATGAACGTAGATATATTTTGCATTTTGTCAACAGCATATCAAGATTCTAGGTACCTGATTGGTCAGAACTGCAGACATAAATTTCACCACTGACTGCTGTGCAGGAAAGCAAATATATATTTATATATAGATACGCATAAAGTTAGCAATGGATACACGCAGTTAGCAAACACCCTTATTTCACAATGGCAAACTTTACCTCCATAAATGCTTTGTCAAGATATCTTTTGGGTGAATCCACGCAATTATTAAGATATATTAAACAAATATTTACTGCGATTTCTTTTAACTCACGATTTAAAAATATACTACATGTAACATGTAGCTCTTCGGTGTTCTCGAGACTGCACTATGCCCTTCAATTTGTCTCGGGGCACAGTACAGTTTCAAGATGACTTTGGGCGTATAGTCACCATAGTAACCATGCCTTTCGAGAAAGTCAATATTTGTCTACTAGAATCCCCCTGCACAGTAATTATTTTAATAATGTATTTACGATCCCATCACTATGAAGATATATGTGTTTGATATAACAACTGCACATACAAGTACTTATTAGTGTTCATACATGTGTACTTACAAACAAAATACCATGTGTGTCAAGCACGCTGTACCATTCATGTATGGACATGTTGTATTTATTCTGGAGATAAATAAATAGGAATTGATATGGAAAATTCAACACCCTTTATTGAAAATGGTATTTTACCTTGACATTTGACCTGGCCACTGCGTACTTTGTATCCTAGAGCACACTTCTGCTCAGGGCACTCTCCAGTCTGTTTATCCCATGGTTCATCATTCAAGCAATAACATTTATCAGTGCATTGAGATCCAAAGTAACCAGCTTGACATTCATCTGGAACTGAGGATGATAAGAAAATATCTTAAAATCACAAGTAGCAAGTACTACAATCAAATAATATTACCTCATCAAAACTAGTTTGTTGCCTAACAAATATGTATCTAAATTATTTGTATTATCGATGTCAATTACTACACATTCTTTAAAAATTTAACAGTGCATTCACTAAATATATGTGTGTATTTTAAGAAGAAAAAATCTTCTCCTCTATTACAAAACATGATATGGACCTTGAGCAGATAGGCCTGGTGCTAAACAAGATATCCTATAATGTCGTCCATTCGTCTGCTACTACTACTACTATTACTACTACTACAACTAATAAAAATAATAATGAAAATGAATTATATGGGATGAGTTGTTAGAAAACACAGAGTAGGTTTGTCTACAAAAAATAGAAAATACAATAACTTCAAATTGACCCATTGTCAACTGAATTATCCTTTTCCACACGGGTATAATACAGGAGCCATCGAGTTATGTAGGCAATGGGGTTAACAAATAAAAAAAAAATATAAACAAAATATATATATTATATAGCTGCAGTGTACATGCATCTTATTTGGGGATAGCATGTATGTAATATTATATTGATATCATTGCTGACCATGACTTACTTTGACAGTTATCCCCAGACCAGCCAGTCTCACATCCACCTGTACAATTTCCACTATAAATATTACATGATGAACCTACTGCACAGTGACATGTCTGGGTACATCCTGGACCATATGTATCATGAGTACATACTGTAATAAAATTCAAAAAAAAAAACAAGGATTAACAATTACAATACATTCATCATAAAGAAATGTTGTGCATTTTATAATAACCCCTATTTTTCCTTTTTGTTCTTTTGTATACTTCTTCTTAATTCCCTCTTTCCTTCTACTTCTTCCACTTCTTCTCTTTCTCTTGTCCTTATTCTCCTCTGAGTTGCGCCTGGCCTCACTCATGAATCCAGCCATTTTGTGGTATATGCTTTTGATATTCTAAGAAAAACTTGAAATTCCGAGATAGTAGATGTTTCATAACTTTGAGGCCTATATATTTTCACTATTAAAACTTGAGCAACATTAAATGCCTTTCTGAGTACTTACGTGTTGTACATGCAAGACCATGAGCACCAACGTCACATGAACATCCATAAGGATCAGGTAGGCAAAAGAGTTTCCCATGGCATTGTGTGGGAGTATCAACGCTATATGAACATTGAAACTCGCAGTTAATTCCAAATCGATTTCCACTATCAGTTCTACAAACTGGAAAAAAATGTTGCATTGTTGAATTAAAACCTTATAGACTTTAATAGGAAATGAGATTTTATGAGATAAATTTTAAATATAGTTGCTTTCCTGTAATCTCCTTTGCAAATTACCGATGGTGTCTAATGATTCATGAACATAATAGTTTTTACTACATTGAAAATAACCCTCAAATACCATGGATAAAAAATAATTGTCGATCATAAGCATTAATCTTATTGAGACATATTTTTGGACATTATTTATATATTTTGTATGGTATAAAGGAATAAAAAGGAGAAGAAAAAAAATATTTTCCCTGCTGTATCTTATTTCACATTTTTTTAATTTAATGATTAACTTGATGTATATACATATGCTGTGGTGTACATGGAGAATAATCCGCAGCTCTGGTAGAGAGGTTTACTTCACAAATACAAAGTCACCTTACGTTATATAACCGACTGATAATAGTACATGAGAAATGTTACATTATAACAAATCACAAAAAAAAGGTGGTAAATCACATTAATCTGTGACGATTCCTTGTCAAATGAATAAGTACTAGTACATATATACAAATGGTAAAAGACATGATGTATAACACTATTTTGATTTCTCTATCTTCTCGTCAGGTAGAAGAAAGACATACTTGAAATGAATATGTTGAACAGATCCACATTACTCTGTTCAATTTCAATTGAATAAGACTATAAATATTTTCCTCAATTAATCTATTAAGAGATAAAACAAAATAAACATCGTTCCACATGGAGTTCTACAGACCTACTTACCTTCTAAACAGTTCGGGCCCTTGAAGATGTTAGGACAGATACATAGACCAGACTTGGCATTACAGACTCCACCATTGTAGCATTTATCACAGATACCATAACACTCAGGGGGACCCCACTTACCAGCATGGCATTCTAATATGAGATAGAAAGAGAGAAAAGAATCACGTAAATACATGTCACTTTAAGATAACATCATAACAAATATGATAATGAATAGAAAATAAGCAGGGTAAATAAAATGGAAGTAGACAGTTGAAAAGTTGTTTACACAATAATGTTCTCGAACGTAGACCTATATCATTGGCTATGTCACGTATTTTCAAATCACATAACAGATCATGACTAGCTATACACTGGAATATTATCATTTGAAGCTTCATGAATTTTTTGAACATTTTTTTGCAAAGTGAAAAAGCTGTCTATCATACAGTAATATGCCGTTCCAAAAGATCACACTTCAACATTATCTACAAGAATACTTTAGGCTATCATTGTTCAGAAATGTTCACATTATTTGTTCATAAATAATGAAATATAAAAGAAAACGTAAAGATCTTCATCCACATGTGAATTGCACAATCCAATGAATCTTTTGGCAAAATATGAAGCAATAACTTATACATATTCGTAACAATCAATATTATATTGGATAAGAAATAACCCCTCTCAGAAAACCGAATGTGATATAAACAGGAATACACTTAAAATGTACCTCTGACGATGAGTCTGTATAGTCCTCCTCTACTTTGATGCCTCTCGTTATTATAGTAGATCTCATAGAATCCTTGGTCTGATGTCTGGATTGGGTTTGGGAAGCTGATCTGAGTCTGCCCACCAAATGACGTAAGAACCTCACTTCCATCTTTCATCCAAGTAATCGCGTTGTCACTCGCATCGGGATCATAACGTCTAGTCATGTTGATCATCACTCCGGTGTCATTCACATTGACTGTCTTTGTAAAAAATCCATCGCTTGATATGAATTTAGCTGTCG